CTTTCAGAGAATCAGGAGCTGCAGATAGACCACAAGCCAAGTTCAACACTCAAAAACTGAAGGACCAGGACACAAAGGAAATCTTCACTGCAAGTATAAAAGACAAAGCCGAGACACAAATCAACAGTAGCGAAAAGGTCAGCTTCGGAAAGCACTGGAACAACTTGAAAACAGTGTGGAGTCAAACCTGCATGGAAGTTCTAGGCAGAAAGAAGAGAGAGGACAAACACTGACTCACCACAAACACTTGGAGACTGATAGAAGAGAGAAGGATGGTGAAACAAAAGATTCTCCAGTGCACCGACGAGCAACAAAAACAGGAAATGAATGCAAGCTACAAGATACTGAACAAAAAAGTAAAGAAGAGTGTCAGGGAAGACAAAAGAAAATATTATGAAGCCATGGCAAGTGAAGCAGAACAAGCAGCAGGCGAAGGAGACCTCGCAACACTCTAATAAACAACTAGGATCCTTTCCGGCAAAAGTTCGACACAAATTAAACCAATGAAGAATGACAGTGGAGAGTGAATCACCAAAGAGGTGGAGAAGAGGAAACACTGGGCTGAACGCTTTAAAAGACTACTAAACCAACCGCCACCTACAACGCCCCCAAAAATAAAAAAACGGAGACAGAATTACCAGTGAACATCGACCACCTGACGAGAACAGATGACCTGAAGGCCATCAAGATGCTAAAAGCTGGAAAAGCAGCAGGACCATATGGAATCCCCGCAGAAGCATTAATAATGGACCCAGAGACAACAGCGGACTTGATGACGCCACTATTGGAGAAGGTGTGGAAAGAAGGCAATGTACCCGAGGACTGGAAGAAAGGATACTTATTCAAACTACCAAAGAAAGGAGACTTAAGTCAATGCAAGAACTGACGCGGAATTATGCTCCTACCTATCCCAAGCAAAATACTAAGCCGCATCATCCTGGAGAGAACCAAACATGCCACCCTGGATGAAAAACTTCGACCGGAACAGGTTGGATTCGGGAAGAACAAATCATGTGTTGATCAGATCGCCACATTACGGATCATAATTGAACAAAGCCTGGAATGGCAGTCACCTCTCTATCTCAACTTCATCGACTTTGAAAAGGCCTTTGACAACGTCGATCGAGAGGTGATTTGGCAACTACTTCGCCACTACGGGGTGCCACCGACAATTATACATCTCATCCAACAGTTGTACGACGATGCTGCATGCCAAGTAATCCACAACGGGAAACTTACGGAATCCTCCGAAGTAAGGACAGGAGTAAGAGAAGGCTGGCTACTATCGCCAATGATTTTCCTGATTGCAGTAGATTGCATAATGCGAAAAACAGCGGGCAGTGAGGAAACAGGCATAAAATGGACTCACACGAAAAACTTCGAGGATCTGGACTTCGCCGATGATATATGTCTGATTTCCCACAAACTGGAAGATATGCAGGCGAAAAGCAACAAGTTGGCAGAAGAAGCAGCCAGAGAAGGCAGGACTTCAGGTGAACATAGCGAAAACAGAGGTGGTGATGAAGATTCCTGGGCAACACCACCAACAGCAGCAACAACAACAGACAACAATCAGCATAAATGGGAGAAATCTGAAAGAGACAACCTCTTTTACCTACCTGGGAAGCATCGTTTCAACTATAGGCGGATGGAACTGACGAGGATTTCAAATCAAGGATCGGAAAAGCAAGACAAGCTTTCACTACTCTCAAGTCTGTGTGGAGGTCAACAGCACTCAGCATCAAAAATAAGATCCGGATTTTCAACTCCAGTATGGAGTCAGTGCTACTATATGGATCAGAGACTTGGCCAGTGCGTCATGAAGAGCACCTCAAACAAGCTACAGGCCTTCATCAACAGTTGTCTTCGCTCTATACCACTCAAGATCAGATGGCCAGAAAAGATCAGCAATAGGGATCTCTGGGAGCAAAGCAACCAGGAACTGACTGTGCAACAAATGGGCAGGAAGAAATGGAAGTGGATTGGCCATACTCTGAGGAAACCGTCAACTTACTCCTACAGAACAACTATTCAGCGACAAATGGCGACTGACGTGGGCTCAGGAAAATAAATCTGCTCGACAATATCCAGTATTAGTCTGCATTGAGTACAATTCACTTCTGGTGTCACTTACGATAAGAATGCTGACTAAATTACACAAATTAATCACTTATTTTAAATTAATACCCAATTTGTATATAAATCGATAATAAAATACGACGCCACACACAACAAAATTATATGGGGAAATGACTTCAAGCTTTATTTTTTTCCTAAGAATTTGCAGTCCACCCAACACATACTTGGGCTTTTTTGGTAATGCGAAGACAATATTTCTCTATTTCTTAGTGTGTCCCATTGAATGACTAGTTAGCAGACTGTACCCACAAACTAATGTTAAAAGGGACAGCAACCATGTAATTTCACCATAAACCAAATTTATGTAGTTTAAGTGATGCTTATCCATGCCTGTAAAACTGGTATGTCCTACACAGATAGGAATAATCATATTATTAGTCACTTTTAACAAACACTTATCTTCACATATGCATGTATAAAGGTGATCCTTATAAGAATGTCCACAGGTGTCGATGTATGCAGCAAATTGTGTGATTGGGGTGGGCTCAAAGCAATGCAATTCCTCAATTACAGCCATTGTAAAAACATCTCAAAGCTTATAACCAAAAAGGGGGGAGGATGGCGCACGCTGATCAGCAGATATGGTAGTGGTCATATATGTGAATTGCTCCGATTTGTAGGACAGCAACATGCATTTTTTGACAGCTGGAGAATCAGGTATAAGTCTGGATCCTTAAAAAAAGGAAAAATAAGGGTTGTACAGACCTAAAGTGTAAATAATAAAATGCTTTTGCTCCTACCATCTACAAGCCTGCTCAGCTTCTTGTCAAGATGGTACCTCATGAACCCTACAGAAATTCGTGAGACATATTACAAGTCAGCTTGTCCTACGGGTTCTAATCTCCCAGATCTTTGAATTCACTTACCGCTGAAATATTACTTATCTACTTCACGATTATCTTTTTATTTACGCAATCTTATACTCTACTTTATCTTGAATACCTAGGCCTTTATTAAAGCTGAAACTTACTCTTTATTCATATCTGTTGCCTTGATTAGAAACACTCCAACCAATATTTGAGTGAAGCTGTATTTTCACCGAAATCGTCATAGTTTCATGCTTAGACCAATATGATTAGCATTAAACATTGCAAATATGTGCTATCATTCCAAGGAGTCTCCAGCTGCTTCTTGTACATATCTTGTAAATGCACTTCCAATGATGTATTATCCATGACTGCATTTTATGCCATTCCGCAATTTCCCAGGACGTTCTCCTCTTCGTGAAATAGACTTTAATCAAGTGGCGGTATAGCACTCACCAAAATTTACGTTTTACACTGGTCGGTTATAATTGTCAGCGGGAGACGCAACGAAGTTTGGGTTGTCGCTCAACATTGGTCGTGACCTTAGTGAAGGGCTTACAATTTAACTTTTATAAGAACCTGCTCTGATTGCTTGTACAATAGTCGAACAATTTAAACTTTTGAAAAGTGTTAATTTGTGATGCTTCAGGATTACATTTATAACATAACTGATCTTGCCTGTAAAAATGGCATGCATTAATTGTAAACACCAGTTTATACGAAATATAAATTATGATTATCACTAGGTAGCTAGTTTTCTAGCCAGTCCCAAGCCCGAGTAAAGAGGGAGGCTTGAACTTGTGGCTATTCACCCAACACCAATAAACCAATCAAGCTGCTACAGAAAATTCACCGAGCATGAAAAATATCAAAATCACAAATTATATGAAAAACAAATTTTTTTCGGTGGAATCGTGGAGGCAAAATGGCACATTGGGCTGATGAAAGCCAGCCGTTGTGTCTCCTCTCGGTGAAAGCCAAAATAAGAATGGGAAGGTGGAGTGTTCTTACAATTTACCAAGCTGGGAAGACTGCCCAGGTAGCCAAAGAAATGAGAAGATATGGCATAGAAGTGCTGGGAATCTGCGAAAGCAAATGGAGTGGATGTGGAATGTCAGAATTGTCAACTGGTGGTTCAGTAATATATTCCGGTTTGGTCACCCGAACGACAGTCACGAGCACACAGAGGCAGTGAGTGATTATCATGTCACCAGTGGTAGCCAAAGCCCTAATGTGGTGGGAACCAGTCTCCCTCTGCAACATTATACAGCAATACTCAACGCAAAAGGGAGGAAGGTTACAATTATCCTAGAAATCTACGCACCTGCAAACAACGCGGAATTAGTGAAGAAGGAAGATTTATGTAGACAACTAAAGATAGTGGCGGAGAACATCCTGAATGGCCACATCAAAATCCTTAAGGACGATATGAAAAGCAGCCGACCTGGGAGCAGGTAATAAAGGAAAAGAACTCATCATGGGTTGAGAGGCTCTCGCTTGGAGAAATGAATAACAGTGGAGAATTCTCCATAGACTTCTACGCCCTCAGTGATTTGGTGGCTGGAGGCAGAGATCTTTCATTTTCCTGATGTATGCACCCTCACAACATGTATATGCGTCAACAGTGTGTGACTCATAGCGCGACTCTTCTCTTCTGAAATCAGCATTTACACACCAGATATAAGTTTTGAGCGACGTTATGCACTTCTCTTTCCCACATATTAGTGAACACGTAGTCATTGTTTTCCCATTTAATACTCATGACTTTGGTCATAAATGACGTCATTTTTACTCATCAAGAATCAACATGTATATCGGCATTCCCGAGATTTTCTGTACTTTACCATGCAAAGGGGGATTTCGCATTCTAATGTAGGGTAGTTAACGACTGAAATTTCTTCCATGATCAAGGGGTATCGGCTACATCTGTGAGCGCTTTCAAAGAGAAATTCAATCTTCATTAGGATACACATTAGGTGACGCTTTAACTACATATTAGTTAAACTAAATCTTTGGCTTATTGAAGTATTGGATACTGAAAAGACGAAGAGGGAAGTTTGTTTACTGAAAGCTACCGCGCTAACCTAAAAAGGCAGATTGGACGTTGTAAGGGATTTCCCGATTTTTCCCCACTTTTTCTTTGATAATTAGTTAATGGAGAGTTTTAACTATGGCAGTCACCTGGTTACATAACCCTCGATAGCCAATGAGAGTTACATACGGTTTAACCAATTCAAATGATACCTTCTATCTTGGACTTGCCTAAGAGGTTCGAAGAAAATCAAGTGTTCGATTAATTTGTGAATAATGGATCAATTTTAGTTACTTAAAGATGTGTATTGACAGAATATCTTGTATTTTAGGACCGAGATGTTGGTTTGGATGAGTGGTGAGAATGAGAAGGTAAACTGGTTCAAACGAACACCACGTCCTATAGTCGCCTCTTTAACAATTTCGCTACTTTTATTGCTCCATAGTTCTGATTAGTTGCTCAAAGTCTGTAGTAAGGTCGGATGGTGTGGGTGCTTTAGTTTAACTTCTCCAAGTTAATCATTCACCTAAGTTGAAATCTACGGTCCACGGTCGTGTTATCATTTATTTTGATGATTTCTTGATGTATATGCACGTGGGAGTTACAGGAAAAATCTTTATATGCAGATATAGTTTTCGTAAACTACATCTCACATACGACCATTCACAGTCGTAAAACATTGAGTTGTTTCAGTTTTAGTTTGGGATTCATTGGCACCGCGTAGTCACTAGTGTGAGCTTACCTTTCAAAAGGCAGTGCTATTTGGCAATAGTAGAGATCAAGACAGTGAACTTTAGGGTAATTTTTAAGATGATTGGAAGCGTCTCATTTTTGTTACTGGCTATATTCGGTATGTGCATCTTATTACTGACTGGTGTTACCGCTACCGTTGTCAGATCCACGTCTTCTGTTATGTCAGAGGATGTTGTTCAAAAGGGAGACTTGTTTGTTGGCTTCAATTATTTTGTTACGATTACTGTTTTTGAGATTTCGTGCTTACGTTGTTCTCCAAGTGTATACACTCGCATATTTCTTTCATGGAATGTAGCAAGGCGTAGTGGGAAAGTGTGGTAATGAACTTAATATACATAATTTTACTTAACTGTACAGTGTTATGGAGAGTGGAAAATCTCACCGGTTTTAGACATACCAGACTGACATTGTATTTTCGATTGTGGTGATAATTGTATCCGTGTGATGTCACATTCTTTTCTAGTTCTGTGTCGGGTGTCAGTGTCCTCTTGTTTGTTGCGTAATTTGTCCGAGGCTGTAACAAAGCTCTTGACTAGTGTTAAGACACCATCTAATAACGAAAATCACAAGAAGTGGAGCTTCGTTAAGACATTTCTAACTGACGACCCACAAGTCACTTTCATAGGCAAACATTTCTTGATAGTGTTGCATAGTAGAATTCTGGATTCACATCTTCCTGTTTGAAACTCGTCACTTGGAATTGACTGCACTTCGATACCACTGGGACTCAGACCAGAGTCCTCTTGGGCTTTGGAGACCTATTAACTTAGTGAAGCCGGAAATGGGAAATTATGATTGTAAATAAATAAGTTATACACGTCTGACAAGGATAAGTCTTTGTGGTTTGAAATAATAGTTAGATTCAAACCTCTCTGGAGACACTGATATAAGAATATAACTTGTGTACTGTAGTAGAGTATTATGGCATTGTCGATAAAATTCTTTTGTTAAAGTCTCAGTGTTATACAGCAATATTTGCTGATGACGTTCCGATCATATGTGACTGGTGATTGACTTGTCTCATCACATGTATTATTCAGTCACATTATGACTGGTTCGTGCTCTTATTTCTGTTTTATTTGGGTTTTTTATTATTTGATTTTACCACAAAGCTACACATGGCCAAATCTCTAGTCATTTTCACTCTTTGGAACACTGTGCGAAACATTAGTATCGATGGTCAGGATATGATTACTTTTTGTGGGTCATTTCTTCTGTAGTCGGCGCAGTGCCAAGCTTTTATTTTATTTTATGCTCTCTACCAACTAGCCAACTATGCATACTGCTTTATTATCTAAATTTTATAGTTTTTTTAAAGCTTACTCCGTACCTTTTTAATTTTTCAGGTTTCACTCATCTCCCTACCACTTTTCCTGGGTTTTTGTGATTAACATCTTTTTGTGCACAAATGAATTATTCAAGGGATCCACCACCTCCGTACGAAACAACTAATACTGGTAATGTCTTTTATAATTTCGCTGTTTTTGTCTAATTTGCATTTTTCATATTTTCAGTAGTAAATTTGTTTTTCTCACACCGTCTTAAGTTATCTGTTTGAAAGTGCTTATGGTTTAAAAAATTTCTCCTGGATTTTTTCCCATCCCATTATTATTATTGTTTCCTTTAATTCCTATAGAAACATAGGGCTTCAACCGTGCGTCTCCATTGCGTTCGGTTCTCTGCTGAGTCCACCTGGCTCCAAGTCTGCCCACACGTTTTCATCTCCTCTTCACATGACCTCCTCCAAGTCACCCTTGCACTGACGACCAACTCGCTGCTTCCCTTTCGGGTTCCACTTGAGGGCTTACCTAGTGATGCCACTTGATGGTTTCCTCAGAGTATGGCCAGTCACACCTCCATTCCTTCCTGCTTATTCGTTGTACAATCGGTTCCTGCTGGGTCGGTTCGCTCCCAGACGTCCCTATTGCTGATCCTTTCTAGCCATCTGATCTTGAGTATTGAGCGAAGACAACTGTTAATGAAGGCCTGTAGTTTATTTGAGGTGCTCTTTATGACGCACTAGCCAAGTCTCTGATCCGTATAGTAGCATTGACTTCACATTCGAGTTGAAAATCCACATCTTGTATTTCCTCCTGAGTGCTGTTGACCTCCACACAGACTTGAGAGTAATGAAAGCTTGTCTTGCTTTCCCGATCCTCGCTGCTTTGATATCCTCGTCAGTTCCACCTGTAGTTGAAACAATGCTTCCCAGGTAGGTAAAGGAGGTTGTTTCTTTCAGGTTCCTCCCATTTATGCTGATTGTTGTCTGCTGTTGTTGCTGGTGGTGTTGCCCAGAAATCTTCATTACCTCTGTTTTTTCTATATTCACCTGAAGATCTTCCTGTCTTTGATGCTTCTTCCAACTTGTTGCTTTTCACTTGCATATCTTCCAGTTTGTGGGAAATCAGACATATATCATTGGCGAAGTCCAGATCCTGTAAGATTTTTTGTGGGTCCATTTTATGTCTGTTTCCTCATTGCCCACTGTTTGTCGCATCACCCAATCTACTGCAATCAGGAAAATCATTGGCGATAGTAGCCAGCCTTCTCTTACTCCTGTCCTCACTTCGGAGGATTCCGTAAGTTTCCCGTTGTGGATTACTTGGCATGCAGCATCGTCGTACAACTGTTGGATGAGATGTATAATTGTCGGTGGCACCCCGTAGTGGCGAAGTAGTTGCCAAATCACCTCTCGATCGACGTTGTCAAAGGCCTTTTCAAAGTCGATGAAGTTGAGATAGAGAGGTGACTGCCATTCCAGGCTTTGTTCAATTATGATCCGTAATGTGGCGATCTGATCAATGCATGACTTGTTTCTCCTGAATCCAGCTTGTTCCGGTCGAAGGTTTTCATCCAGGGTGGCATGTTTGGTTCTCTCCAGGATGATGTGTCTTGGTATTTTGCTTGGGATTGACAGGAGCATAGTGCCGTTCCAATTCTTGCATTGACTTAAGTCTCCTTTCTTTGGTAGTTTGAATAAGTATCCTTTCTTCCAGTCCTCGGGTACATTGCCTTCTTTCCACACCTTCTCCAGTAGTGGCGTCATCAAGACTGCTGTTGTCTCTGGATCCATTTTCAATGCTTCTGTGGGGATTCCATGTGGTCCTGTTGCTTTTCCAGCAGCAGGTTTTAAGGGAGCAACCCATAAGGTCGCTTCTCTCTGAACTATATATTTATGTAACAACCCCCTTCTCAGGCGTGAGGCTAGCGACCCCACCCTGTAAACAAAGCTGCTACAGAAACTTCAGCATGATGAATCTCCTTCCATCCCATAACCAATGTATTTATATCAAGGTTAAGACATGACTAGATAATATCATCTACTTAATAATTAGTCTTGTTTTGAGTAAACTGTTCACACACCCCCACTCCCCAAAATTTCTAAGATGTGTTCACTTGTAGTTTATATAAGTAACAATAATGAATCATTCAGATAGATAGTGGTATTCTTATAGACTTGAGTGAAGAATTTATTTATTCAGCACTTTCTGATTTTTCTAATAATCTGATAAACTTGAACAAAGCAGGAAGAATATGTTGAACAGGATAAAATAACATCGCTAATATTTCGTTGCCAGCTGCTTACAACCATGATCCATTTCATATTGATATACAACAAAATATTCAAATGCTGTGCTTTTTGATCATATGGCTGATAGTTAATAATGTCGTATGACTAAGCAGCCTAATGGGAAGGCATAACAGCCACTGTTAAAGCTCGTGAGTATATATAGAAATAATTTAGAAATATTTTAGAATTAGGAATGTATTTTAAAAATTGAATGAAGGCGTAAAATCAACAATCCACTTATGTAAGAGTCAAATAATGTAGTTGAACAGATGTCAAGAGAAGAAAGGTTTAAATTACTTTATCGAGACAAAATATAAGTAAAATAACGAGATTAACAAAAGTAATTAATAAAAAAACAAAACAAAAATTAAGCAAAGAATATCCTTTTCGATAATTTCCTCTTCTGGCTCTACAATTATGTATATGTTCGTATACACAGAATATTCTAGAATAGTAGTCAATAACAATATCAGTGCTTTTTAAATAATATCGATTTGTTAAGTAAAATCAATGAATTTATAGTTCAATAAAGATGCTTAAATTATAATAATAGTAAAAATATAAAGTAGCAAATAGAATATCAACTAAAAATTAAGGAAATTTCTACATAAAACTGAGGATCATTCGAACCTAGATGGCCAAGGCAAGGACAATGTCTGAAGCAGCTTCTTTTGGATAAATAAGTTAGGTCTCTTAGCGAATATCCCAACAGCCCCACCAGTATGCAGTAGACAAACTCTTAAGGTAAAGTTAAGATTAGTTGGTATGCGATAGATGACTTTGAAAGCCTCGTTAACATCAATCTTGTGTTCTTTATCCACAAGATAGAATAGAATAGAGCTATGAATGGGTATTGTTTGTCCTTTACTTAACCATGCAGGGTGATGTTCGGAAATCCGATGAGAAACACCCCTAATTGTACGACCAATGTAACTAACTAGCTCTACAGGAGCAGTGAAATCGGTAAATATACATAGAAGAGGCGAAATTAGACAGTTTATCTTTTAAGTAACATAAAGTACATTTGTTAATTTAAAGTAAGACTAACAACGGTTTCTTTTTGCATGCATATATTTGGTTTGAGTCTTTTAATGCCGATCACTTCTGTATTGGGCGGAAACCTGGAGCTGTCTTCAACTTTAATTATCTTAGAGAATTTTAATGGATCGATTTCATGATGGTTGTCTAGCAGGTAGGTAGGTAGCGAGCGAGCAATCGCACTACTAATCAGTTTCGTACCTTTCAGATACAAGTTTCTTGTAATATTCTCAGGTAGGCGGTCACAAATCCTTGTTTAAGTGTATTGTATTCAGTCTATAACATCCATTCATATTTCTAGAATGTTCCTCAATTATTTCTATTCATCCTCACGACCTTAACAGAGGCTTAAATTCTTTCCCATTAAGCTACTCATTATTATCATTGTTCCCTTGGGTTCCAAGTGGAATATGGGGCTTCAAAAACATGCCTCCACTTTGTTCTATTTTCCACTCCCCTCTTCACCTGATATTAATATCTATCAGACACATATGATGATCAATAAGTGCAGTATTTGAATATTTTGTACCTTGACTGATATGAAATGGATCATGATGGTTGGTATGCAGCTGGTATAAACCAACGAAATACAATGATGTCATTTTATGTTGTACAATATATGCTGTTTTTCTTGCTTTGTTCAAGATTATTAAGGGAAACAATTGTCTGAAATGCGATAAGCATTTTGAGCGGTTTAGATGAGTTATCTTTTTTTGAAAAAAGTGAAGTTAATTAGCGAGTTTCTATCAATAGTTTATGGGATATGTAAGGGATTTGGATTAATTTCATTCCAGTGGTCTCGTCAGCCGATGTTGGTTCGTGATGTAATCTAATAATTGCAATTAAATTAATCTGAATGCGCAGTCCATTGATGGATGGCTACTGGATGGATTTTCTGAAGAGGTGTAATGAAAAAGTCGTGACCAGTGGGGTCGACCATGTCAAGGCGAAATGGATGCTCGTCGAAAGGCGTTGGTTGAGGTTAGCGGTACATCACTTAGTTGACAAAGTTAGAATTCACGGGTCATTGAATTCCAGCCCAAGTGGCTAAGTGGTCAGCGAGCTTTGTCTTGTAGCCTGGACGTTTCGGGTTCAATTTCTAGCGCCGGGGTCGTGGGTGCGTACTGATGAAGAGTCCCGAAGCAGGACGACAAAGCTCCCTGGTTATTATCAATGGTGTTGGTTGGTAACGAAATCTGTCAATGGTGTTAAGTGATCGTTATTTGTTTTTTAACCACTACTAAGTGCTTTCTAGCTAGTAAGCAAGTGCTTATTATATTTCTTAAGCCTACTGTTTATTTTTTTTCATTTTCCAGATAAATTTTCAAAGTGTTTAGTTAATCTCACTTTACTTTTTACGCTTAATTCTATTTCTTATTCAAGCTCCATATCCTACAATCGGTTTTGCAGTTGGACCATACTCTGATTCAACAGGATATCAAGGTGAACCATCTAATCCAGAGCCTAAATCTAATCGTGCTGAACCGTTTACAAGTTTACAATATTCTGAGAAAAGTGTTAGGCATGCTTTCATTCGAAAGGTAACTTATCGTGTGTGTATTCAGTCAGTCATTCATTCTCTCTCTCTCTCCTCTTCTTTCAGGTCTATCTAATTTTAACAGCTCAGTTATTAGTGACTTCAACGTTTATATGCACTTTTCTTTTTTCGTAAGTTTTAAAACACTGAAACTTAATACCCCTTTATTATAGGTATCGTGTAAAGTATTGGGTTGCAAGAAATTCATGGTTTTATTACCTATCCTAGTAAGCTTATACTGATAACATTTATTTTCTTTAAAGTTAGTTTTACGTATAAGTTTGATCGTATAAGTTAGAGAGCTTTTGGAAAAGTAGGGAGCACTATTGGACAGCTGTTTCATCCTAGTTTGGGTCTGCTCAGCAGTACCCATCCATTGGGAGAGGGGGTGGCGAACCCAGGACCTTCCGGTTACAAGAGGGTTTCGTAGACCGTCGAGCCACTGGGACCCCATCCAGTTCCCCTTGAATTCCAGCTTATGCCAATTGGCTATATTTAGGCCAACCGTCAGCCAATACCGTTAGCCATTGGATTGAGTCCCAGTGGCTGAATGATCTATTAGTGGGCCTTGTGACCGAAACATCCTGGGTCCGAACCGTGACGGGTGGGTACCACCACTTAAGAGTCCCAAACTAAGGCAAAATAACTGTCCCAGGTTTTCCAGTGGTTCTCTAACTGATTTCACCTCGTGGGCAAACCTCTAATCAGTTAAATCCCTGCAAAGCCATACTTGATAGTCAGTTTTACTTGGCAAACATTTTTAGTAGTTGTCGTAAAAGTAGTATATTCCCAAGAAATGATTAAAATTAACTCATTTCGAAACGGTTAATAAATAGCAGTCATAGAAATAGACTTGAAAATTATCCTCAGATATTGCCTACCCTTAAAGAACTTCACTATAAATTCATATGTGACAGTACGTATTACTGCAGAATATCCCATGAAGTGGACATATAATAATAATAATAAAGGGTAGGAATAAATTGATTCGACCGGTTGTGTGTGTGTTGATTGATTGTTTGTCTAAATGAACGACTGTTCTGAAAAAATATAATTTCTGACATTCTTTATCAATTATCACATGTCAAAAAACAACACATCAAGTGGTGGTCAAATCCATATTGATTTTCTTCATTCATTCATTTTTAACTGGATTATTTGGAAAAGTCGATGATTACTATGATGTTGTGCCCTAATTTACTGATGGACTGTTCATGGAATCAGAAAAACTGATCCTTAATTATATATAGGTTGTAGGCTTGTTTACACACTTGTTGTTGTACAACGGCTCATCGGCGTCCCTCACCTGATAGTTTGATTTTTATCATTTTATTCCTTCATATTCCGAGTGGAACATGGGACTTCAAGCTAGAGCTTTGAAGTTTCGGTAGCAGTGGCTTTATTCTTACGGGATGGTATTGCTAGTCCCTTGGCTGAGTCTCCCCACTTTACCGGGCTTACTACTGTCTGTCTGTCTAATTGAGGTCTAGGAATGAGTCGGTGATTCAGCGATACAGCGCTCGCCGATCACGCCTCACGAGGTCAGAGGTTCGTTCCCAGACAGACTCACTCTTAAACCTAGCTAAGCTGGTAGTAGAGCCAGTAAAGAGGAAAGGCTGGCCGTGAGGCTAGCGCACACGCTCTCTCCCGTAGAAATAAAACCATTGATAGGGGTTGGGCGAAGTTTTAATTCAGGTATCCATGGAGTGAGACCGTTGAACTACAGCTACAGAATAACTTTAGCTAGTAGTACTTGTAGCACTTGTCTTTCAGTCACCGTGTCCTGGGTTTGATTCCCACTCCATGGACTTCACAGATTCGGCACCACTATCACTCACATAATAAGCGTGACTCACCACTATCCAGTATTGGGTAATCGAGTAATAACAAACAGACAACACATCATGTAGAACAGTGCAGTTATTAATGCTACGTATCTATTTGTTTACTCCTATTTCTATTGTCGTGAAATTCATGCCTTAAAGTCTTGCTGTTATTTTTATTTGAAACTTTTACTAGTGCGGTTTTTCTATGCACCTATATTGCATTGGTTTGTTGTCCGAGTGTAAGACGAAGATATCCTGGAAATATTATCGCGCTATCTATTTTTGTAAGTTGTATATTTTGTGTTTTGAAGAGATATATATTTATAGTTCCCTCTTATATACGTGTATGTGTGTAGTATCAGTGATGAGGAGAACCTTCTCTACATTATGTGGCGAATGCAAGCCTGTTGTATTGACTTATCAATTAGAAAGTGACAAGAGATTGGTAGTGAGCAGCCCGACAAAATAGGATATTTAAGACATAGTAGATGATGAAGATGTGTTGTAAAAAGAATAACTGGTCATCGAATCATCAAATTCCACTGAACATAGTGATTAGAAGAGTATAGGAGGTATTATTTGAAAGGGTACTGTTACTAAAACACCAC